GCAGCTCGCCACGCTCGAGGCCGGACACGGGGCGGCGGGCCCCGGCCCTGAGTAAGCCAGGTGAGGGGCGCGGGGGAGGGCTGGGTGAGAGGAGAGGGTAGAGATGAAGAGACAGCAGGAGGAGATGGAGAGACATGGGGGAGGGGGAGATGGAGAGACGGAGAGGAGGAATGGCGAGACATTGAGCGAGAGTTGGGGAGACATTGAGCGAGAGTTGGAGAGACCTTCGGGAAAGATGAAGGATAGCTGGAAGAGTTGGAGAGACAGTGGGGACAGACGGCGGGGAGAGACACAAGACAGCAGGGAGAGACAAGGGAGATATTGGGTAGAGACGGAGAGACATTAGGGAGAGGTGGGGAGACAGCGGGAGAAATGGAGAAGAAGACAGACAGCAGGAAGAGAGAGGCCCAGATGGAGGCTCAGAGAGCGAGAATGACACAGGAGGAAGTGAAGACTCCCAGGGAGAGAAGCAGAGACCCAGAAGGATGGAGACTCAGGGAGAGTTAGAAGCAGCAGCGTGAGGTGCAGACTTGGAGACACAAAGGAGACACTGTCCCCCCACCCCATATGAGGCAGAGAGATTCCCGGTCAGCTCCCCACAACACTTGGAGGTCCCTCCCCTGCTCACCAGCTGCCAGGCACCAAGCTCTATTTAACCCTCTCAGGGTAACTGGGTCTATGCGGCCATTGCTGTTATTCCATCCCCATTCCACAGTGGAAGAAACTGAGGCTCAGAAGGGTGCCACCTCCTACGTAAGGCCATGCTCCTCGTAAGTGGAGGAGCTGGGATCCTACTGACAAGTGGTTCAACTGAGAGCCAGAAAGGAGTGATAGCAACAGAGAGAGACATTCAAGGAAAGCCCAGCGCTCATCCTCCTCCCTCCCTCCTTATTATCCTTTCTTTCCTCTATCTTCTATCCCCTTTCCTAAACATACACTCTCCAACTTGCCTTCCTCTGCTCAAAGCCCTGCTATAGCTCCCCATTGCCCTCTGGTGAAATCCAAGTCACATGTGGTTTCCCCCGCAACACAGCCTCTCTGCGGTTATGACATCTCTCAACCTACAGACCGCTAGCCTCTTTCACACCAATTAGCCACTGTCCATGCTCTTTTCTACACCAGGCGTGCCCTTTCTGTCTCTACCCCACCCAGAAAACTTCCCATATGTTCTTTAAGTTCCAGTGCAGCTTGCTTTCTCTTCCCTGAGTCTCCATAACTTGTCTGTTGTTGTTAGGTGCTGTCAAGTGGGTTCCTAGGTACAACAGAACGAAACACTGCCCGGTCCTGCGCCATCCTCACAATCATTGTTATGCTTGAGCCCAGTGTTGCAGCCACTGTGTCAGTCCATCTTGTTAAGGGTCTTCCTCTTTTCCTCTGACCCTCTACTTTACCAAGCATGATGTCCTTCTCCAGGGACTGATCCCTCCTGATAACATGTCCAAAGTACATGAGACGTGGTCTCGCCGTCCTTGTTTCTAAGAACATTCTGGCTGTACTTCTTCCAAGAAAGATCTGTTCATTCTTTTGGCAGTCCATGATATACTCAATATTCTTCACCAGCACCACAATTCAAAGGCATCAATTCTTCTTCAGTCTTCCTTATTCATTGTCCAACTTTCTCATGTATATGAGGCGATTGAAAACACCATGGCTTGGATCAGGCGCACCTTAGTCTTCAAGGTGACATCTTTGCCTTGTTAACACTTTAAAGAGGTCTTTTGCAGCAGATTTGCCCAATGCAATGCGTTGTTTGATTTCTTGACTGCTGCTTACATGGGTGTTGATTGTGGATCCAAGTAAAATGAAATCCTTTTTTGTCTGAGTTACCCCTATTATTGCTTGTGTCACTGTGTTGTGTCTGTCTGTGTTGGTACCATCTCCCCCACCTGACAGGGAGTAATGTCTGGGTCTCTCTCTCTCTCTTTTTGTTCCTAATATTGCCCAGAAATGTGTGTGAATTCAGGAAATCAGAGGTTGATGATTGGGTAGATGGGTGGGTGGACAGATGGATGGATGGATGAGTCAGCTGGATGGGAGGATGGATGGATGAATGGATGAGTAGGGTAGATGGGAGGATAGATGGATGGGTGGATGGGAAAATGGATGGATGAAAGGATGGATAAACTGGTTGATGGATGAGTGGATGGATTAGTAAACGGATGAGTGGATGAATGGGTGGATGTGTGGATGGGTGGGTGCATGAATGGATGGGTGGGTGGGTGGGTGGATGGATGGGAGGATGGGTGGATGAATGGGTGGATGGATGGATAGATGGATAAATTGGTTGGTGGATGAATTGGTAAATGGATGGGTGGATGGATGGGTTGGTTGATGGGTGGATGTGATTGAATGAGTGGATGGATGAATTGGGTGGATAGGTGGGTGAATGGAGGGATGAATAGATGAATTGGTTGATGGGTGGATGGATGGGTTGGATAGATGGGTGAGTGGATGGATGAATGGGTAGAGTTGTTTGATGGGTAGATGTGATTGGGTAAATGGATAATGTCTTAGTTATCTAGTGCTGGTATAACAGAAATACCACAAGTGGATGGCTTTAACAAAGGGAAGTTTATTCTCTTACAGTCTAGTAAGCTAAAAGTCTGAATTCAGGATGCGAGCTCCAGGGGAAGACTTTCTCTCTCTGTCAGCTCTGGAGGAAGGTCCTTGTCATCAATCTTCCCCTGGTCTAGGAGCTTCTCAGGCACAGGAACCCCAGGTCCAAAGGATGCACTCTGCTCCCGGCACTGCTTTCTTGGCGGTATGATGTCCCCCTGTCTCTCTGCTTACTTCTGTTTTACATCTCAAAAGAGACTGACTTAGTACACAACCTAATCTTACAAAACTGCCTCTAATATCCTGCATCATTAACATCGTAAAGGTAGGATTTACAACACATAGGAAAATCACATCAAATGACAAAATGGTGGACAATCACGCAATACTGGGAATTATGGCTTAGCCAAGTTGACAGATATTTTGGGGGGACATAATTCAATTGATGACAGATGGGTTGGTAGATGGATGTGTGTGTGTATGGATAGGTGGATGGATTGGTGAATGGATGGATTGGTTGATGGATGGATATGGTTGAATTGGTGGATGAGTGGATGGGTAGTTGGGTGAATGGGTGGTTGGATGGCTAGTTTGGGTGGATAGGTAGGTGGATGGACATGTGAACGGATGGGTTCGTTGATGGGTGGATAGATGGGTGGAAGAGTGAGTGAATTAGTAACTAAGTCTGTTTCTCAAATGAGGATTCTGTGAGAATTAAACCCTAATATTCTTTTTTTTTAATTGTGCTTTAAGTGAAAGTTTACAATTCAAGTTAGTCTCTCATACAAAAATTTATACATACATTGTTATGTGACCCTAGTTACTCTCCCTATACTGTGACAGCACACTCCTGCATTCCACCCTGGATTTCCTGTGTCCATTCAACCAGCTCCTGACCCTCTCTACCTTCTCATCTCACCTCCGGACAGGAGCTGCCCGTTTAGTCTCATGTATCTACTTGAGCTAAGAAGCACACTCTTCATGAGTATCATTTTATGTCCCATAGTCCAGTCTAATCTTTGAAGAGTTGGCCTCGGGAATGGTTTTAGTTTGGGGCTAACAGAGAGTTCGGGGGCCATGTCTTCCAGGGTCCCTCCAGTCTCAGTCAAACCATTAATAAACCCTAATATTCTAAGACAAGGAGCCCTGCTGGCACAGTGGTTAAAGCGTTCAGCTGCTAACTGAAAGGTCGGCTGTTCGAACCCACCAGCCACTCCATGGGAGAAAGATGTGGTGGTCAGCTTCTATAAAGATTTACAGTCTTTGAAACTCTGTGGAGCAGTTCTACTCTGTCCTATAGAGTCTCTATGAGTCAGAATGGACTCGATGGCAGTGGGTTTGGTTTGGTTTTTAATCCTAAGATATCCTCTATATGTGATGTATTCACTTCTCTCCCCTGCATCCAGTACGACACTAGTTATAGACCATTCTTGGTGAGAATTGAGAAGATGGTCACTCTGTGTTCTGTGGTTTTGACAAGGAACCCTGTTTAAGAAAAGATGGACCACTGTATGCATAGGCGAAGTTTCCTCCAACATGGCATTGGGCGTATAATACAGAAATAACCACCTATAGATAAAATTATCCATGGATATCCTTTACATTACCCTGAAAGTTTAAAAGCTGAGTTGGCCTCCACTGTTGGAAACACCCTCCAAGACTTGGGTCAAGCTGACTTGAGTGTAAACCGCCCCCCTCCCGCCACGCCAAGGAAAATGGGCTGTTTAAACATAGGCCTCCTCCTTAATGGGAGGGCGAGTTGCTCCCAGCACAGAAAAGACAGAGAACTTGACTTTTTGCGAGGGCTTAAAGTCCTGGCTTCTGTCGCTCTCCTTCCACTCTGGGACCAAAATTAGTTGAATAGCTGGGCAAAAGCACCTCCATCACTTGTCATTTCTCCCCCTCTCTATCTTTATCTTCTTTCTCTGTCTGTATGCTTGTCTCCATGTCTCTTTCTCTCTCTCTCTCCTTGTCTCCCTGTCTTTCTTCTTGTTTCCCTGTCTCTTTCTCTCTCCCTGTCTCTGTCTCTCTTTGTCTGTCTTTCTGTCTCCCTGTCTCTTTTTCTCTCTCCCTGTCTTTCTTTCTCTCTACCTGTTTTTGTCTCTGTGTCTCTTTCTCTCTCTCTGTGGCTCAGTCTTTCCCTTCATATACCCCTCAGTCTCCCCCCTGTCTCTCCCTCTCTGCGTAGTCTCCCCCTTCTTCCCTCTCTCTATCTCTTCCTCTGTCTCTCCCTCTCTCAGTCTCTTTCTCTGTCTCTCACTCTTTGTCCCTTGCTCTGTCAGCCTCTCCCTCTCTGGGTTTCTCCGTCTCAAACTCTCCCTCTCTGTCTCTCTCAGTCTCTTCCTCTCTCAGTCTCTCTCCCTCTCTCAGTGTCTCTCCCTCTCAGTCTCTCTCCCTCTCTCAGTATCTCCCTCTCTCAGTCTCTCCCTCTCTGTCTCTCACTCTCTCAGTCTCTCCCTCTCTGTGGCTCTCCCTCTCTGTGGCTCTCCCTTTCTCTGTCTCTCCCTGTCTCTGCCTTTCCCTGTCTCCCATTCCCCATCTTGTCCCACTGGGTTCCAATGAGTTGAAGGTGTGCACTCATATGGGGGGACAGGGGAATGAAGGAGCAAATGAGTAAACATAGAAGTGGGTGTGGGAGGGGGCAAAGCAGGAGACAGGACTCCCTTCCCCTGCCCTAAGGCCTCTGGGTTGTGGGCCAGGGGACTACAAGGTTGGAGGGCATCTGGAGCAGTCACTGACCCCCCCCACCTCCTGCAGATGACCCCATGGCCCCACCTGTCAAGACGGGTCTGAGACGAGCAGCAGCCCCCAAGACCATCGGGCCACCAGGATACCCACCCGTCCTCTCACTGCTTCACGCCTGGATAAACGGCTCTGCCTCATGACTTTGCTTGTCTGTCTGTCTGAGAGAGGGCCATGCCTAGGGCAGGGATGAAGCCACTGATTGCTTCCTTTTAGCCATAGAGGGGCTACCCATGACATCGGGGACCTGAGGCCACCTGGGACGTGGGAGCCCAGCTTCGTGCTGACCCTTCACATAGGGGAACAGTGGCAAGGATCCATGGCCCGGACCCACCCCCTCAACCCCGACCTCCCTCAGCCCAGCTCCCCTGTGCTTGTTTGGGTCTTCCAATAAGCAGTCACCATGATGGGCTTGGACTTGCAAGATGTTTATTGGGGGAACACTAATGGGGGAATACACCAGAGGGCATCTCCAGACTTCCATGGTGGTCTCACACTTGAGGACAGAGGAGGGAAGAAGTGAAGGGAAGAGGGGAAGAAGGAAGGAAGGATGGATGGAAGGTTGGGCAGGATGAGTCTTCAACTATGGTGTAGTTCCAAGAAAATTTGGGTCCAGCCAATTGGGAGTCTGGAAGCCAGTGTCATCTGTTGGGGGTGTCCCACATCCTGGGAGCAACTGCAGGGACCTGGGTGGCTCTGGGTGTGGGCAGTAGGGCTGTGGATCAGCTGTGCTGCCCACAGTAGGACAGCTGGGTGGCCCATTTCCATGGCCATGACACCCCCAGCCCAGTCCAGGAATCTCTTAGCCCAGCTGCCCTCTTGGTCCAGACACCCCTCCTCTCAGCCTGGACCCTCCCCCCTCAGCCTGGGCCCTCCATCAGACTGAGTTCCCCTCAGCTGAGCTTCCCCCCGCCCATTTACCCACAGAATCCCCTCATTCCAGAGCCTTCTCAGCCCAGACACCCCCCCCCCCGCCCCACCGTGGTCATAGCCTGGACTTCTCCCACTCAGCCTGGGTCCCCATTAAACTAGGTCCTTCATGACCACAGCCCAGGACCCCATTCAGCCCAGCTCTCCCTAAGCTCAGATCCCCCCACTTCCCTCAAATTTCCCTCATTCCAGACCCCCATGATCATAGCCCAGGCCCCCCCATTCAACCTGAGACACCCTCCTTCAGCCCACATCCCCCATGATCACAGTCTGGACCCCCTATTCAGCCTAGGACACGTCCTCATAACCCATACCCCATCATAGTCACAGCTCAGATCCCCCATTCAGCTCAGGTGTCAGCTCAGATCCTCCCACTTCTCTTCCAGACCCCCCTCAGCTCAGGCCCCCCCATGATCACAGCCCGGGCCCCCATTCACCTAAGATACCCTCCTTCAGCCCATACCCTCCATGATCACAGCCCAGACCCCCCATTCAGCCTAGGACAACTCCCTTAGACCACACCTTATTAAGATCACAACCTGTGCCCCACCCACCCCCATCATCCCAGGCCTCAACGCACACACACCCTCCTGAGAGCAGGAGGTTTTCACAGCGCCTCCTGCTCTTTACGGCTCCCAGGAAAGACACCAGGAGTCCATAAACTATATTTGTATTGTGGGGGCCCCCCCGGCGGTGCCCCTAGTCTTCCTCTGTCCCCCCTTCCTCTTCACCCCCTTCTGTCTCCCCTTCCCCCTCAGTGGCTGCTGAGGTGTCCAGGACACTCTCTGCGGGCTGGGACATGGGCACACTGCCTACGGAGGGCGTCTTCTTCTCTGCTAAGGACATCTTCTCCTTGGACAGCAGCGAGACAGTCCTCGACAAGTTGCACTGACCCTTCAGGAAACCGGGGAGGTGCAGCATGTCCCGGCGCTTGGCCCACCTGGGAGCAGCAGTGGGGAGGGGAGAGGCTCAGTCTGTCCCACCCACTCGGCTTATTTAGGGGCTCAGGCAAACCCCCTGCACCCTGACCCCACTCGCCAGAACAAGCAGATGGTGGAGATGAGGAGCAGCAGCCCGCCGCACGTCCAGCCCAGCGCCCACATGTGCTTCCGACGCATCGTCTCTGGACAGAGGGGCGAGCATTCAGACCCGGGGGGCTGACACTGGCCCCACCCCAGGACCCAGGTGCCCTGGCCTCACCATCGGGCCGCTGGTGGTAGCAGACTCCATCCCGGTAGCAGCAACGGAGACGCAGGCAGAGGTTGGGGTTCTCAATTGCCGCCTGGCCCCCACAGCTCTCCCGGTCCCACACATCTCCCTCACAACCTGAGGACCATAGGCAGGTGGCTTCAGCACAGGGCCAGGCCAGGGGAGAAAAGGCCAGGCGCCAGGGCTGCCTGCCTGGTGCTTATTCCATACAGGGCAGCCCAGAAGTTCAGGACTGCAGCTCCCTTCTCCCTCAGACCCAGAACTCAGGGCCCCCAGCCCCCTTGTCCCTCAGACCCAGGAGTCTGGGACCCCAGCCCCCTCCTCCCTCAGGCCAGGGAGTCTGGTCTGGCATCCAGCTCCCTGGAGACCCAGGATCTCAGCCACTGCTCACTCCATGGGTAGAAGAATCCCTGGATTCCATTCCCATCTGTGAGAGAAAAAGGGTAATGTTGGGGCTGTGTGGTGGGCGCAGTGGCCCCCTCCTCAGCCCCCTGACATCTCCGTAGCCCCCTCACCCACTGAGCCCTGCATGAGCAGGAGGAGGCTCAGAGCTGAAATCCCTGAGCCTGCCATGTTGCCTTCCCAGACCCCTGGGGCCTCTGTGGGGTGCTGGCTATCACCCCAGCAATGGCTCAGCCCCACCCCACCCATGGCCCCCAAGATTCCAAGTTCTGTTGCTAGGTGGTCCACTTATTAATGGGGAAGGAAGGAAGGGGAGGTCACACTAGCCTGGTCATGCCTGGTTGCTAGGGAGTTGCTTCCTTAGCAACCAGGTGGAAGAAGCCTTGGAGGGAGGGGTGTTCCAGCTCTAGAAGAGCCTCTTTAGTAACCTGCAAGGCTGGAGAGGGGCTGGGGCTCCAGAGATAGAAGCTAATTCTAAGGCATCTTACCCGGACTAAGGCATCCTCCCTCCCCACCACCCCGTGGGCAGGGATCTGGGAGACCTTGCTGTTAAGGGAATCTCTTTCCTCAGTAACCTGAGGCCCCAGAAAGCACTTGAGGTGGTTCTTGTTGCTAGGGAGTCTTCCCCTTTAGCAACCAGGGGGCCCTGAGGCACAGGAAGGCCTCACTGAGCCCCATTGTTAGGGAAGGTCCTCCCTTAGCAACCAGGCCACCTGGGAGGGAAGATCAGCCATAGGCCAGAGCATTGACTAGGGAGCCCCCCACCCACCCGCCAGGTCCCTGAGAAACAGCTTTTGGTTGGTGGTCCCCAGCCACAGCAGGTCTTTGGCCTACGGGTGTTGAACCAGGGAAGGGGCTTGAGGCTGAGTGAATGTGTGGGCGGCAGCTGAGATCTGAGGGTGTGCTGGGCAGGAAGTGCCCCTTTTCCTGTCTAGGTCTCAGTTTCCCTGCTTGTAAAAGGACAAAGAGGTCAAACTGGGGACCTTCAGCCTTCCTTCTTGGTCTCCCCTAGTGGTGGGAGAGGGGCTTGGTTTCTAAGCAGAGGAAGCTGGTTTGGGCCCATGATCCTTAGTTCTCCCACTGTGAACATCCACTCAGCTTTGCAGCCCTGGAAGTGGGGTTGGGGGATCTCAGCTCCCTTCAGGCAGTCTGATTTTGAGTGAGGATTCTCACTTTGAGGAGGGCCTGGGTTTCAGGACTCCTGGGTCCAAGGGAGGAGGGTTGAGGCTCAGAGCTCCTGGGTCTGAGGGAGGAGGGTTGGGGGTCAGGGCTTCTGGATCTGAGGGAGGAGGATTGGTGGTCAGCACTCTTGGGTTTGAGGGAAGAGGGTCCAGACATCCAGACCCCAGTTTTTCTGGAAGCCATGTGAGGCTGTCCCCAGCTCCCATCTCCCGTAAACGTCCTGGTGGGTGCTGAGTGGGCCCTGGCTGCCTCCGTCATTGATGACACAGGTCAGAGGGGGCTCGGCAGGGGGCCGGGGGTGGGGGTCAGAGGGGTTGTGGGGCTGAGGCTGGGCAGCTGCTGACCGTTTCCTGTGTCAACATCATCCAGACCCACTTCCCAATTCCCCGGATTCCGCAGGGATCAAGGAGGGGGTGGGGAGGCGGGGCCGCCTGGCCCTGGACCGCGGCTTCGGACTGGGGGGGCCACCGTCACAGCCTTCGCCGCTAATGACAGGTTTGGGCTGCCTCTGTGGCTGGCCTGCCCCGTCACCCCCCAGAGGCCAGACAGGACCCCCCAGGGACAGACAGACAAACACACACCACCTCGGACCTGCTGACCTCACACCCAGTCAACCCCACCTGGTCCGGGGCCAGCAGAGGAGCAAAGACCACTGGTCCTCTCCTCGTTTCACTGACATCTCCCCCATGCCTGGGACCACCCCTCAAAGTCTCTGGCACAGTCTCTCCCCCATCTGTCTCTTTGTCACTCTCTAGCGCTATCTTTTCTTGTGTCTGTCTTCTCCTCACTCTGGGACTTTGCTCCTGTCTCTATTTGTCTGTCTCTGTCATCTCCTGTCAGTTCTTGTGATTCCTAATCCGTCTGTCTTCATCTCTGTCTCTCCCACTGTCTCGGGCTGACCTTCATTTCCACAAAAGTCTCCAGTGTTCCCATCCCAGGGAAAACCCAGGATTGCGGAACATTCCCTCAACTCTTGCTCTCCGCTCACCCCATCTACCTGAGGCTCCTGAACCACACTGAGGGAAGGGAAGTGTCACCCCACAACCCCAGGGTGAGGACAGAGACAAGAAAAAGGGAACTGACCAGTCCCCAGAGCCCCTGACTTCCTCACACAGAGTGCTCCCCAAATTGTAGAATGTCAAGAAGCCTTTCTCCATCATCCTCGAAACTAGAGTTTAGGGTCCAGACTCCTGGATTTAAGGAAAAAGGGACTGGGGACCGGGACTCTTGGGTCTGAAGAAGGAGGACCTGGGGGCCTAGACTCCTGGGTCAGAGGGAGGAGGGGCTGTTCTCCTGGGGTCTCATAGGTGGAAGGACTCACATTACCAGCCCCTATTGTTGCTGTGGAGCAATTCTACTCTGACACACATGGGGTCGCCATGACTCGAAGGCAACTGTTTTTTTTTTATTGTTACTCTGATCTGGCCCAGGCCCAGTGCCCCCATTCCCTCAGGCCAGTCCATCCCCCAGGCTGGTGGCCTGAGTCACCTTGGCCGGCCCCGCTGTCTGGGGGGGGGCTACGTCAGCTCTCCCCTCACTGACGCAGCCTGGGGCCCCCCACGCTGACTCAGCCGGAAACAGGCCCCCTGAGGGGCGGAGACCCAGTGGTCAGGAGGCCTGGGTCCTTGCGGGAGAGGGGCCTGGGAGGGCCCCTGGGGGGCCCTGGAGGGGGTGGCCATGACGGACTGAGAGCCAGCTCTCACCTGAGGGGATGAAGTCATGTCCCACTGTGGGGGGGCTGTGACCTCACCTCCCTGGGGACCTGAGCCTTTGCCTCCCCTCAGTGTGGGGGATGGAGGGGGATGACTCCAGCCAGCATTTATCCCCCAAAACCCCTTACCAGCTCAGCAGTCTCAGAGTCGGGGAGGGTGTCTGCAGGGAGACCCTTTGAAGTTCTTGTCACCTCCCTGTCCTCTCAGCCACCTCCATTCTGGGAGGGAGGCATCCTGGGGACTTGGGTTCTAGTCTTTTGGCGCTGTGCTGCCAATCCTGGGGCCCCTCTGCACCTGTATTTCTGGTGCTCACTGTCTGTGCTCAGGTACCCCGATTGCTAGGTACCCCCTGACTCTCTCTCTCCCTCCCACCTACCTCCCTGCCTTCCCTCTTCTCCATCTTTCTCTGCCTGGCAGCCTCACTGTTCTGTCCAGGTCTCTGGCTCCCTGGCCCAGCCATTCTCTCTCTGGCTCTGGGTAGCTGTGCTTCTGTTTGCCTCACCATCTTCTGCCCGCAATGTTCTCATCTCTCCCAATGGTTCTCTGTCTCTCTCTATCTCTCCTTCTCTCTCTCCCTCCCTTCCTCTTTCTCTGTCTCTCCTCTCTCTCTCTGTCCTCTCTCCTTCTCTCTTCCTCTCTCTCGCTCCTTCAGTCTCTTTCTCCCCTCTCTCTCTCCCTCCGTCTCTTTCCGTCTCTCTTCTTTTCTCTGTGTCTCTCTCCCTCTCTCTCTCTCTTTCCCTTTGGATTTATGAATAAAAATTAACCACGAGAATAACAGTGGTTAACGATTATTGAGTGCTGGCTGTGTGCTTGACGCGAATGTACTTACTTTATCCTCACCACAGACATTTGGGGGTGGGCGCTCTTGTCATCCCTATTTTACAGAAGAGGAAATTGAGGCACAGAGAGATGGCCTCATGATCCCCAGTTTCCACCTCTACTAAGTGTCTCCATGGCTCTTTCTCTTGGTCCCCATCTCTGTCACCTTTGTGCCACCCTATCTGGCTCTTTGAGAAAGGCTCTTCCTCTCTCTGTCCCCTCTCCAGACTCCCTGGCTCTCTGAGTCCATCTTAGGGTCTCCATCTCTCTGGAAATCTCTGTCTCCCGTCTCTATCTCTTCAGGCCTCTCTGTTTTTGTCACCTTGCCTCTGGGTCTCTGTTTTCTCTGTGTCTTTTTTCTGCCTCCTCTCTCTGTGTGTCTCTCTTGCTCTCTCTGAGTCTCGATGTCTCCGTCCCTTTTCCTCTTGGGGTCTCTCTGAGTCTCTATACATCTATGTTGCTGTCTTCTTGCTCTCTAATCTCAGACTCTGAATCTCTCCTCCTTTCTGTCTCCATTGCTGGCTCCCTGGCCCTATCTGCCTCTCCAGTATATCTCTCCAGCTGTTTCCATCTCTCTGTATGTGTCTGTCATCCTGTCCGTCTGTGTCAGCATCTATCCATCTCTGCATCCCAGTGTCTCCATCTCTCTGTGTCTCTCTGTCTCTGAGTCTTTCCATCTCTGTGTCCCAGTGTCTCCATCTCTTTGTCTCTATTTCCCTCTTTGTGTCTCTGACTCTCTCCCTCTCTGTGTCCCAGTGTTTTCATCCCTCTGTGTCTCTATCTCTCTGTCTCAGAGTCTCTGTCCTAGTATCTCCATTTCTCTCTGTGTCTCTGTCCCAGAGTCTCTCTGTCTCTCAGCATCTCTTGCTCACACCTCCATCTCCCCAGGCCGCCATCTCGCTGCCCCATGGCTGCCCTTCCCCATCTCTCTCCGCCTGCGGGGACCCCCACCCGGACCCCCGCCGGCAGTGGGGCCCCAGCTCTCCAGCTGTGTCTGCCAGGGCTAAGGAGGTGGAGGGAGGGGACGCCCATGACCTCACCAGCCTCCCTCCGACCACCCCCCTTTCCTTTTCAACTTTTCCAACTTTTCCTTCCGTGCCTCCTCCGAGCCGCGAGCCTTGCGCGGCCGCCCGTCTGAATGGAAAAGGCAGGCAGGGAGGGTGAGTCAGGATGTGTCAGGCCGCCCTCCCGCCGCCT